GGAACCACGTGACCCAGCGAGGCACCAGGCGTTTCTTCAAGGGGCTCTCACTGGCTGTGAAAGTCAGCCTCCATTCCTTAAAGCTTTCTGGTGAGGCCAGAGCCCAGGCGTGACTCTTTTAATCCTGACAGGCCCAACAAAGACTTGGTTAATAAAACCCCACTTGGAAACCGGTGCCGTTGTAAAGAGAACAGATTCTCACTGGGTTTATGCAAACAAACAGATCGCCATGAAACTCACAGTCACTGAGAATTGCCGAATTCTGGGGGATCAGGTAGGGAGAAAAAGACATGTTTCAATATTGCTTATGAGGGTGCAATTTAGAAATTGTGTTTTCTTATATCTGGACGACAAAAAGGTTTAAAACTAGCAATATTTTGAACAAAGTCATAAGCATAACAATTATCTCTAGTTCATTCAATCCCGTAGAACCAATTCTATTTGTCTTGATTATTTGCCGGTATTTCCACGAATTCAGTTGTTCCTTAGGGGTCTTCTGTAACTCTTCATTTGCTTTAAAGATATGACCTACTTCAGATGCCTGTAATTTAAGTCAGAGTCTCTTTCATGAGCCTATCTGAAGATACATTTGCAAATACATTGGAGCTAAAGTGATTGTTTATGTGCAAATTCAAAATGACAGGGTTATAGTTTTAATTAAAATGCAATTGATAAAGAACTTTACTTCTCTGTAAAATATATTTCAAGATAATTTCTTTTCTTTTTTTTTTAGATTTTATTTATTTATCTTTAGAGAGAAAGAGAAGGAGAGAAATATCAATGTGTGGTTGCCTCTCATGAGTTCCCCTGCTGTGAACCATGACTGTGTGGTTCGCAGGCCTGCACTCAGTCCACTGAGCCACACCATCCAGGGCGAGATAATTTCTTGATAAAGAATTACTATGGCCCTGGCTGGTGTAGCTCAGTGGATTGAGCACGGGCCTGCGAACCACACGATTGCAGTTCGATTTCCAATCAGAGCACATGCCTGGGTTGCAGGCCAGTTCCCAGCAGGGGACTCATGGGAGGCAACCACACATTGATGTTTCTCTCCCTCTCTCCTTCCCTTCCCCGCTAAAGATAAATAAATAAAATATTTTAAAAAAAAGAATTACTATGAAATGACATAAACATATAAATCTATGTGTTTATATTGTTTAAATATTTTATTTATTTATTTTTAGAGAGAGGGGAGGGGAAGGAGAGAGGGTGAGAAACATCAATGTGTGGTTGCCTCTCGCGCGCCCCCTACTGGGGACCCTGCCTGCAGCCCAGGCATGTGCCCTGACTGGGAATTGAACCATTGGTTCGCAGGCCAGCACTCAATCCACTGAGCCACACTAGCCAGGGCCCAAAATTTGTATTTTAAAAGATGGCCTAGACAAGCATTCTTAAAGAACATCAAGTATTTACATTTCAAAAATATAGGGGGCGAAGGGGCAGAAAGGCAGTTCCAGTTGAAAATGTCACTTTTTTCCTCTGCATTGAGGGGCAGGCCCAATTGTTCCCAGGATTTGGCAGCTCCCAGGTCTCCAGGAGGAGACTACAGAGTTTTACAGTCTGGGGGTGGGGGTAGTGAGGGGTGAGATTTTCCTCCCTTTTTGTACCCTTATTTGTACTCAACTTGGGCACAGTGGGGCCAAGCCTAATTCCGAGTCGAATGCAGGACTCGGGTTAGGCAGGTCAGGACCGTCGTCACCCCCTGCTGGGTAATGGGGGTGAAAAGAGCGTGGCCCTCCAGGGTTAGAGAGCTGCCCAGCTGAAACTGCAGCAATTACTCTGCAGCAACACAGACACGAGTGGGGGAGGGGACGGGGGTGCTAGTGTGAGGCAAATTTGAACGAAGAGGCGTAGTTAGGAGAAAGAGGCCCGGAATCCCTTGCTGAGGGTTAAAAATCTTGTCTCCTCTCAAAGACTAAACCTGAAGAGGCGATCAAGATGGCGACAGCGAAGGTCAAGTTGGAGGATAGTATTTTAGTGAAGAGATCCGTTCATGGGCCAGAGTTCCGGTCGCCCAGTTTGTATCGAGGCCAGGCCGTGATGCAAGAAAGAATCCAGCACTTGGACTTGAGGTCGGTAAGTCCCAGAGCTTTGAAGTTCCATCCCAGTGGGGAGTCCTTGGGCGGGGCAGATTGAGAGTTGCCCATTTTAAAAGGGAAGGAGCTCTCAGGGACGAGAACGAACGAGGGGCGGGGAAGGTTTGAGAAGGGCGTCCCCAACCTAAAATGACTTAGAGGTCTGCGGCACGAGCTGAGCGTCCTCGGGCCTGAGGGCAGAGGGAACGCGAGGATCTGCCTCAGAGCCAGGCTCCCTGGGCCCCAGAGAACAGCGCGAACCTGCAGGGGGGTGCATGGGCGGGTGGGGGGGGGCGTCCTTCCCAGGAGAAACCCTGCAAAAGGGATAGACCCAGCACTGGGCTTTGCCACAATGAGACGTGGTGGGTATAAACTACCAGTTTCTATTGGATGTTTCTGTCTCGAGATTCAGAGAGACTTACTGATCGCTGGCTGGGGCTGGGGGGCGCGTGGGGCTGGGGTGGGGGCGGGGCCGCGCTGTCCCCAGAGTTCAGAGAGACAGAGAAGCATTTGAATCCTCCCTCCAAAACTCACAGAGACAGGGTTAGGGGTCGAGCTCCCCCCCCCCCAACTGCTCCCCTAATCGCAAGTCAGGAGGCCGGAGGAGAGGGAGAAATAGAGAATGTCCCTGGAAGGGCCACCAAAATGTTAGGGTGCTCGCGGACGCAGGCTGTGAAAGAATTCACAAAGAGAAGAAGGTGCACAGAGTAAAGTTTTTATTCACTATCCAAGAAAGGAGAAGGGCTTGGTGTGCAGAGATGCCCCAGCCCTGAGGGGTGGGGGCTTTGAGCTATTATTGGGTTGTAATTGGGTTTAAAAAGGGTAGGGTGCTGTTGTGTAGCCCCTGGGCTGCCGGGGGTGTGAGGCTGCTGTTTGTTCCAATGTTATCTTCTGTCCGTGGCTGTAGGGGGCACTTAGTCATGTTCCGTTCTTGCTTTCCAGTAATTTCCAGTCCTGGGAACAGAAGCTCAGAAGAGCCAAACGGCAGTCATGTTTAACAAGGTCACAGGCCTGCTCTGCAAATGGCATCACGGTAGCAAACGGCTCTGACTTTATCTTTTCATCCCCCCGGGGGTTCCTGCAGCCGTGATGCAAGCAGCCCAGAGGCTGGAGGCAGGAGGGAGATGTAATTACAGCCTCTCCTGCCTCAATTCAACAGGAAGCTCAGAGTTGGGGCCCAGGGGACCCTAATCCAATGTGACTAATGGACCACTTGCCAGACACACGCTCCGCAGGCTCTGGGGGGCGGAGGCGCGGTGAGCTGTCTGCCTCCACCCAGACCCAGCCTCACTCTGAGGAGTCGGGGTGCTGAACCCTAGAGAAGAGGAGGCGGGGGTGAAGGAGTGGGGAGGGGGTCTTGAATTCCATGGCTCTTGGGCCAACCAGGTAAAATAAGTAACTAAACCCTCAGCTCGTCTGCACTTCCTCATTTTTCAACAGACATGTCAACCGTCAGAAGCCCCTGGCACAGGCTCCTTGAACAACAACCAGGCCTCCACCTCCTCACCTGAGAGATAACAGGGCAGGGTGGGGACTTCAGCGAGCTGGAAAGCCCATGTCCCATGTCATAGCCTGTGGTCACCCTGGGGGGGGGGGTTCATGTAGGTCTGAGGTCACCAGACCTTCCAGTTCCGAAGGAGCTGGAAATAGGAACTTTTATGTAAAGTACTCTATCAATTTGACAAGAGCATTCCATAGGCCAAAATAGAGAGCCAAAAATATACCTGCAGGCTCTATATGTCCTGCAGGCCATCCATGTGTGACATGGGACACGCAGGGCAGAAACCAGAGCAGTTACAGTCCCCCTGTGTCCCCAGACAAAGAAATTGTGGAAGGCAGGAATGTACAATTTAATTTGTCTCCTCTCCCTCTAGCCATGCTTCTCTCTTCTCTGGCTCCCAAGTTGGGTTTGTTTTTTAAAGATTTTCTGTATTTGTTTTTAGAGAGGGGAAGGGAGAGAGAAAGAGAGGGAGAGAAACTTCCAAGTGTGGATGCCTCTCCTGCGCCCCCTACTGGCGACCCGGCTTGCTGCTCAGGCCTGTGCCCTGACTGGGAATCCAACCTGCAACTCTTTGGTTCTCAGGCCTGCACTCAGTCCATTGAGTCACACCAGCCAGAGTGTGGGTCCCAAGGTTTATTACCATCATGTTCCAGCTCAGATATCTCCTCCTCCAGGGAGCCCTCCCTGACCCCCAAACTGAGTCTGGTGTCCATGCTCCCTATGAGCTCTTCCCATTTTGGGGTTGTCACCTTTGGGGGACAGGTCTGTCTCTCCCACTGGATTCTGAGCCCCAGGAGGGCGGTGCTAGGCTACGTCCCCAGCTTCACCCAGCACAGGGCCAGTCACAGAGCAAGAACTCAGAGAGCATTTGGAGGAATGAATGAATAAATGAATGAATACACAGAATTCAGTGCTTAAGGACAGAGAGGCCTGTGGCGGGGGGGGGGGCCAAATGTGAAAAAAGGGGTGAAATTATTCAGGATGTGAGAGGGGGGACAGACACAAGAAGCAGGAGAGGGCAGAGGCCAGCGAGGTGTTCAGGGGACACAGGACTCCACAGTCTTCACTCCATCACCTCCTCTCTGTGTGACTTTGAGTAAAGAACCTCCCTCGGCTCCATTTTCTCACCTGTAAAAAAGCTATTCTACAAGCAGCCAGCTGCCTCTGGGACTGTCGGGACGATTAATTAAATTCAGGATCATGCAGTGCTGAAAGGATCATTTCTTCCCACCCACCCTCGGTATCCACACACCCCGCATAGTCTCACCCCACCCCCATACTCCACACACAGAAGATGTGCGAAGGGACGCGGGTGGCCCCAAGCTCCACGCATGCCTCAGTTGTCCCCCAAAGAACAGGTGCCACCAGTCACCACGTTTATTGGATTCATATTTCGGCAAGGGAGGGTAAGCTGTAGGGAGGGCTCAGAGCAGGACGCAAAAGAGGCGCTTGTCGCGGAAGGGGTTCTCTGCGGCGGGTACCGGCGTCACCAGCGGGTCATCTTTGGCGTGCGTCTCGCAGAAGGCCAGGAGCTCCGCCGCGGCCTGCGACACCTGCGGGCACAAGGGTGAAGTACACACCCCGCCCGCCTGAGGCCCCGCCCACTCCCAGCCCCTCCCTTGCCCCGCCCCCTCCCTGGACCCCTCCCCTGTACGCCCCGCCCCTCAGGCCCCACCCCCTGCCCGAGTCCTGGTCCCGCTCAGTTCCAAAGGGAATCTTACCCTGCAAGGCTCCGTGACCCTAACAGCACCGGGCACGGACCCAGCCCCCAAGCCCCCACCTTCCTCCTACCCTGACCCGCACCTTCATGCGGTCGATGTTCACTTCCAGCTTCAGCTGTTCCACCGTCTTGCGGGCTTCCGCGATCTTGGCCATGTTGTTGGACATGGCTGCGGCGGGGAAGGGATTGAAAGCCCGGAGGGAGAGGGGGCGGAGGGGGTAGGCTAGGGCAAGTCTGGGTCCCCAGCTAAGGTGGCTATGGTGGTGGGACCCAGCAACTGGGGTGCGGGTGGGGGGAGAACGTGCGCATGGGGTAGCCAGGGGCAGGTGGAAGGAGGTACAGGAAAAGAGAGGGGAAAGTGGAGGGATGAAGAGCCGCACAGATTGGGGACCAAGAGGCAGGCCCAAGGAGGGACAGACGAGCCGGGGGAAGAGAGGCAAGAGGGGAGGTGGCGGGGTGCACAGATGGGGTACCCGGAGGCAGAGAGGGACGAGGAAGGCAGGAGGGAAGCACAGATGTGAGGCTGACAGGCAGGTGGAAAGAGGGACAGAAGGACAGGGCCACAGGTGCTGGAGCAGGCTGCAGGTGTCCTCGGCCCCCAGGGATGGAGCATGAGCCAGGAGGGGGGCCCTTCCCAGGCCAATTAGCGGCCGCTCCAGGGAGAACAAGGAATTAAGATCTCGGCGGGAGGGGCGCAGAGGGGGCCTCATTAGGGCCGTGGCAGCAGCTGCCCCCTCCGCTCCCCGAGGGGAGCTCCCCCACTCCAGCCCTCCACCTCAAAGGCTCCTCTGCTCATTAGCAGCTGGAGAGAGGGCTGGGGGGCGGGCCCGCCCAGACAGGACCGGGAGAGGGGCAGAGAAGAGGAAGAGAGGGACGAATGGAGGGACAGAGGGACAGCGACTGAGACACAGGAGACATGAAGAGACTGAGGGAGGGAAGAAAGAGATGGAGAGACAGGGAGGGATGAAGTGATGGAGGGAGTGAGGGGGGGCCAGTGGAAGGGTAGAGAAAGGGACAGAGTCATACAGGGGGAGAGAGGCCCCGAGAGGATAAAGAGACTGAGGGAGGCGAGAAAGGGAGACAGAGGAGCCCAGGAGGGACGGCAGTGGGAGAGGATAAAGATAGAGATGTATGGACAGGCAGGGGAAGGCGACGGAGGAGAAGGGGACGGAGGACAGGGGGACAGAAAGAGAGGGATGAGGGGCTGGGGGAGAGGCAAGCTGCTGGAGACGCAGCAGTGTGAAATCATTCATCCACTCACTCATTCATTCATTCCCAGGTGGACAGACGAGCCAAGATGGGGCAGAGGGACCATCTGCTGGGGCCAGGACGGGAGCTTCCTACCTGATGTTGCTCAGGGCTAGGATGGCGGGCTGGTGGCGGAGGCCGGGAGACAGCTCTGGGTCCCCCTGCCCAGCCCCGCCCCACCCCGCCCCTCCCGCAGGGCAGCCCCTGAGGACCCGCCTCCGCCACCACCGCCGCAGCTGCCACCAACACCACACTGCTCTCTCGGCCGCCTTGGGTCTGTCTCTCTGGGTCCTAGCTCGGTCTGTCCCTCTCTTCATCCCTGTTTCTGTGTGTCTCTCCCTCCCTCTGTCTCTCTTTTTAAGATTTTATTTTTAGAGAGAGGGGAAGGGAGGGAGAAAGAGGGGGAGAAATGTTAATGTGCGGTTGCCTCTTGTGTGCTCCCTACTTGGGACCTGGCCCGAAACCCAGGCATGTACTGTGACTGGGAATCGAACTGGTGACCCTTTGGTTTGCAAGTCAGCACTCAATCCACTGAGCCACACCAGCCAGGGCCCTCTGTCTCTCACACTCCCTCCCTCCCTTGGGGAAGAAGTCAGGCTCTCAAGGTGTGCCCCACGCCTGCTGCACAAGTCCCCGTCACACAGCTGTCCCCCTTGTGTCCCACACGGCCTGACTTCCCATCACAGGCGCTCTCCCACCCTGTCACACCCACCACCTCAGTGTCGCCCTGTCTCCCGTCAGCACACGGCCTCACACGCACAGCCCCTCGCCCAGAGACCCGCAGCACCTCCCCACTGTGTCACACGGTGTTGCCACACACCCTCAGCCACGGTCCCTGCTCCTCCGCACACTCTCCCACGGTCTCTCCAAACGCCACACACCGTCCCTCACAATCTCTCGGGGTGTGACACATCCTCACCCCTGGCATCGGTCAGGTGTATTTTCTCAGAGTGTCCAATGGACCAGCGGTTTCACACAGTGTCACACACTTGCGTGTGTGAGTCACACACACACTCACATGTGATAAAAACGTCTGTCCTACACCCTCTCTCAGTGTCTCATGCGGTGACATGTACTTACTCACACAACCTCTCTGTCCATTACTACCACATAATAGTTTGTAGTGTGACAGTTACCGTCATAGCCAGTGACTCCCACGCACGTCACGCACCCTCTTGCACAACCTCGAAGTGTCTCGCAGTCTTACGCATTCCCTAACACACAGTTACACAGAATCTGCCCCCCGCACTGTCCCGTACGGAGTCCCCTGCTGAGCCCCAGTCTGTATGACGCACAGCCGCCGCCCTCCCTCGCACAGAAACCCCCCAGTTGCACACTCACACACACCAGGTGTGTCCCGTACGCTACTCTCTGAGCGCCCTGTGCAGTTGCACACTCGCTCACACACCGTCACGACGCTGTGCCAGTCTGTCAGTCTCCCACACAATCTATGCCACACACAACCACACAACACATTCTTGCAGTTCGTCGGTGTGGCTGGCACCTACTGTCTCACACTCACGTGGACTCTCTGACACACCCAGTCCCCGCACACTGGCCTCTCACACTGCCTTCTCGTGCCATCTCTGGGTGGGTCACACTCGTTCACTCCCACACATCATCTGCCCATGTGACACACAGCACTCATGTGTGCTCACCACGTGCACACTGTCACGACCGCTCAGCCCCACACATGACCTCACAAACAGTCCCCCAAATAGTGTCCCAGGCACACCCAGTCTCGTAGGAAGGAACAGTGTCTCCAGGTGTGCCCCATGTCCTGCTGCATTTATTCCAGTCACCCGTCTCTCCTGTGTGTCCCGAATGGCTTCTTTCCATCACACATGCGCCCCCACCCTGTCACACGCACCAGCTCAGTGTCACGCCGTCACACCCGACCACCGGGCATCACCAGCAGTCATGCACACGCATTTCTGCGTCTCCCATGCACAGCCCATGCAACCCCCAGGTGTAATACACCGTTTCACAGTCATTCTCTGGTTGTCACACATCTCACCAGCTCACAGGGCCACACACAACCTATGGCTACAGCCTCACGGTAGTGCACACTCACACAGTCTCTCGGTGTCACCCACCATCTCCCCGCGTCACCCACAGACACTCAATGTCTCTTCTGCATTCAGCAGACGCCCCGCGGGCGCGCACACTCTGCCCTCCGGCTCCTCCTGACAGTTCCCTGCAGGCCACAGGGGGGCGTCCGAGGCCCACACAGCCGGCGCCAGAGCCTCGGGAGGAGGTGGAAATCCGGAGGGCAAGGCGCCCCTGTGGGCCGGTCGGGGTGCAGGCAGTGGAAAACACAGAGATGTAGGAAGGTGGAGGGGTCTAGGGGGAGAGAACTGAAGATGGACAGGACACTGAGAAAGGGAGTGAGATGCAAGGTGAGACAGAGAGACGCAGAGAGACGGGGACAGTCAGAAATTTGGAAAGAGACCGGGGGACTCGGGGAGGCAGACAGACAGAAGGTTGCAGAGACAGAGGCACAGAGCTATGCGGGTACAGAGGAGGCACACAGACCAAAATGTAGAGTCGGAGACGTGAATACAAGACACCCAAACCGCGACAGAGGCCAGGAGAGACCGCACTCAGACCACGCCTTACACAGGGGACTGCAGCCGTGGCCTGCAGAGGTGCGTCTAGGGGGCGTGGCTTTGGCGCCCTAAGGGGCGGGGTCTGGAGGGGCGGGGAGGTGGGGCGTGGCCTGGATGGGGCCTGCTGGACCACCCCAGACGGCTGCAGGAGGGGCGCAGGCCCGAGCTCAGGGAAGAGGCGGAGGTGGGGCAGGAGCGTCTTTACCGCAGTCAGCCCATCCCAGTTCAATTTTTTTGACCTCGTCTGAGAAGGGAGACCAGTGGGAAGGGTACACCAGCCCAGATCCATAGTGTAGCCGTTTGATAGTGGGGGTGTCAGACCCTGGCTTCCCTCCTCCCCGACTCCGCGGGAGCAACGGGGCCAGGTGGGGGAGGGGAATCAGGCTCACATCTGGAAAGCATCAGGAGCGCCGGACGTGCCAGGGCCCCGGCCCACTGCGGATGGGGGGAGGGGAGCTAGGGCGCCCTAGTTTCCCGCCCCCCTTAACGGGGTCTGCCGGCGCCGGGGAGGGGCCTGGGAGTGCGCCCAGCCTCCGAGCCTCCCGCAGCTGGTTTTCATCAGCAATTCGGGCCCAGCAGCCCCGCAGAAGGAAACCCAGTTTGGAGCGTGGGTAGACAGGGTGACGGCCCAAACTCCCCTCCCCCTCCCCGCGGAGGCCAAAGACTGGGGGAATAGGGGAGACAGGCACTGCCTGAACTGAGCGTGACCTCCATTTCTCTCCTGAGCTGCAGGCCTCAGGCCTCTTTCCACTCTGCGCATGACCTTCGTCTGGAGGTGTGCCGTCCTGGTGCGTGCTGCACAGGAATCGCCTCTCCACCCTCCACCCCCTACCCCTCGCCCCCCACCCCTGTTTCGGGATAACCAAGTCGTCACTGGTATTATTGTCCCCATTTTTTTGGACGGGGGAAACCGAGACCCTGGGTTAAGATTCAATTCCGGCTTTAATAAATCAAGAAACGTGCCATGAACAACAACAGTAATTCTAGGATGAAATACCAATCGCCTCCTGGCTATTCCCATCTGGATGTCTGGTGGGAATCTCGAACTCCCCGCGTCCGAAATGGAGCTCCGCAGTCCACCGGTTAAAACCACTGCCATCCCCACAGTCTCACCCACCTCTGTGGGTCTTTCTTGGCGCCTCTCCCTCTCCGGACTCTCCACCATCCTGTCACTTCTCACCTCCTCTGCTGTCCCCACACCGGTCCAGCCACCATGCCTTCTCGAGTGGACTAGTGCGGTGGGTTCCTCACAGGGTGTTCAGCCCCTGCCTCTGTCTCCCTCAGCCGGGCCCCATCACAGCAGCCAGCGGGACCCTGTTTGAACTGAAGTCCCCATATAATAACAAGTGTTCATGAGGATGTGGAGAAACCAGAACTGTTGATGGGAAGGTAAAATGGTGCGGCCACGTTGGAAAACAGTCCGGGCAGTTCCTCAAAAGGTTAAACAGAGTTACCCCATGACCCAGCGATTCCATGCTTAGGTGCCTCTCCAAGAGAAATGAGAATGAACGTGAACAAAAAAATTGTGCAGGAATGTTCACAGCGGCATTATTCACAACAGCCACAAAGTAAAAACCACCGAAATGACCGTCAACTGATGAGTGGATCAACTAGATGTGGTCTATCCAGACTGTGGTGTGTCATGTGGCAATAACAAAGACACGAAGGGCTCTGGCTGCTCTAGCTCAGTGGAGTGAGCACAGGCCTGCAAACCAGAGGGTCGTTGGTCCAATTCCTAGTCAGGGCACATGCCTGGGTTGCGTGCCAGGTCCCCAGTAGGGGGCGCGTGAGAGGCAACCACACACTAATGTTTCTCTCCCTCTCTTTCTCCCTCTCTTCCCATGTCTCTAAAAATAAATAAATAAATAAATAAATAAATAAATAAATAAATAAATAAAGTTTAAAAAGATATGACACATACTACAAAAGACACTACAACATGGATGAACTTTGAAACCATTACAAAAGATGCCAGGCACAAAAGACCACAGATTTCATGACTTCACTTATGTGTCCAGAATAGGCAAGTGTCCAGAGACAAAAGTAGGTTCGTGATTGACAGGGGATGGGGAGACTGGAGGAAGACAGCTAAGGGGGGCTGACTTTCTATTTGGGGTGATAAAATATTCTGGAATTTACTGTGGCAATAATTGCACAACTCTGTGACTGTACTAAAAACCATTGGCAAGACATTGATGAAAGAAATGGAAAAGGACACAAATAAATGGAAAGGTATCCTGTGTTAATGGATTGAAAAAATTAACATAAAGATGTTTATATACTCAAAACAATCTACATAGTCAAAACAATATCTATTAAATTCCAATAGCACTTTTCCCAGAAATAGAACAAACAATTCTAAAATTTGCATGGAACCACAGAAGCCCCTGGACAGCCAAAGCAATCTTGAGAAAAAAAAAAAAAAGCTGGAGGTATCACTTGCCCTGATTTAAGACTATATTACAAAGCTATAGCAATCAAAACGGTATGGTACTGGCATAAAAACAGACACATAGATCAATGGGCCAGAATAGAGGAACCAGAGAT